TTAAAATCAATCTCAACTTTGTATAGGCAGTTCAAGTTTCATCAGGTTGAGATCACTTGACTTTGACTTGAGTGACGGATAATTCAATTGAGCTTGACTTGTAAGAATCGTTGTTTTCTCGTGTCCAAACCAAGCCAAGATGAGCTCAGGATTGTCTCGTCCTATATACAAAGGAAACCAAGCTCAACCTCGGAAAGCAATGCTCAACCCGAGCTTGACTCCAGCATAATTCAGTCAAGCCATGCCTAATCATCCCAATACTTAGCTTGATTTAGATCATTTACACCCCTCTGCATTGCCTCTTTGGGAATCTCATTGGTTTAACATAAGTAGAGCCTTGCATAAAAACAAACACTACATAAAACGGTGTAGCGCTCAAACCTGCCCTCAAAGAGGATGTACAGATGAACAAGAGTTGAATCGCATCCCTTAAATAATTTTTGTGCCCGTACTTTGTGTGCCTATCTGTGGTTTCAAATAGTTATTCTTCCTATGTTTGAGCTTTTGACAGACTTCTCTTCAAATATCAGTCTCTATTTAATTGAAGATATTCTCATTTTAAGGCCTCGCTTGGTGTCTAGAACTTGATTGGAATGGATAACCCACAGTATTGAAGGTATGTTTGAAGGAAGAAATGAATGAATTGTGTCCAACTTGAATGTAGGTGGATTACTTATTAAGAAAACTTCTCCATTCCAATCATTAACCAAAATGGTAGGATTAGGAGGGATAAGTTTTCTTCATGTCTAATGCCCTCAAAATGAAAAATCATTAACCTCTACCTTCAATATACCTTGAATATAGTGAGTTATCTATTCCAATTCAATCCTAGTGACCAAACGAGGCCTAAATTCTTATTTTTGTCTTTCCCTGACTAATATTTTCTGTCATTTTGTAAACCTTTTTTTTTTTGCATGTCATGTGAAATTCTTTTTCCATGATTTCAGTGCTTCAGACTGGAGATACGCCGCAGATCAGTTTGTGAAAAAGCTTCCTGATAAAGTAATTGTGCACCGTGAGTGCTTCTTTTCACTTGTGATTTTTTCTTACAAGTGCGCCGAAGAGTCTTATTCACTAAGTAACTAAGTATCTTAGTATATTTCCAATTTGTAAAATTTATTTAATTGGGGAGGATCTGTTAGTGATTAAAACTTGTAAATATGCAAGCTCCTCCTTGTTTGCTGCAAATTTACTTTAGGAATCATATTATTTCCAAAATACATGATCTGTCTGACTTAGAATTTTCCCAGCAGGTAGTGAATGTAACTCTTCAAGACTGACATTTGACGGTGTTGACTTGATGGGTGAGAGGCTAGCTGAAGAGGTATTTGGTAATGGCATATTAGTCCGCATATTTTAGCATAGCATGTCTTGGTTTATGATACTAAAGTGGGCATTTTTTGAACCATAATAAAATGCTTATGGTACTCACCAGTGTATAAGAGAACTGCAAAGATAAATCTCAATATTATAAAGTTATTTATTTCAAACTTTGGGCAAATCTTAAATTCCAGAGCTAAAAGCAATGCAGGTATTAGCTGTTGTCAGAAGGAGGTCTGAGGTGCGGAAAATATCTTTTGTGGCTCATTCCTTAGGGGGGTTGGTTGCAAGGTATGCCGTCGGAAGGCTGTATGAACCTTTTCCAAAATCAGAACCCTCAGGTCAAAATGGTAATTGCTTAATTGAAGGGCATACAAATAAGTTGACACAATCCATTGACCAGCCTCACCATGGTACAATTGCTGGACTGGAAGCAATGAACTTTATAACGGTTGCAACACCACATCTTGGTTCAAGGGGAAATAAACAGGTAGGAAATGCTTATTTTCTTCATATTTGCTATGGATAAACAAAATTGAGCAATTTACACGCACATATGATGACTATATAGAATGCAGTGATGAAAAGTAGCTGCGAATTGAAGAATTCCTTTTATTACTTTCATTCTACATTAGAGAATCTTGTAAGAAAATATGGGAGGAATCTTGTGAACGTGAATTTTTTAACTTTGTTTCCGCAGCTCCCATTTCTCTGTGGTCTTCCTTTTCTCGAGAGAAGAGCTTCTCAAACTGCACACTTTATTGTTGGGAGATCTGGGAAGCATCTCTTCCTAACAGACGATGATGATGGCAGACCTCCTCTTCTTCTTCGAATGGTTAATGACTGTGATGACCTAAAATTCATGTTAGTATTAGTATGTCCATAATTCTCCATGATTTCCCAAAAGATTGAATTATAATAATTTTGTAGATGGTAATATATCTTTTTCTTGCCTGTGCAGATCGGCTTTGCGTGCATTTAAGCGCCGTGTAGCATATGCTAATGCAAATTATGATCGTATCCTTTTTCCTGTTTATTTTGCTATCAAAATTTGATTATATGGTATATTTGTGTATTTTCACTTTGGAACCAGTTGAAACTTGTTTATGTTGACTTAGTTTCAAGATATGGTTGGATGGAGAACATCATCAATCCGGCGTCAAGATGAACTTCCAAAGGTAAGTCTTCTTGTTTTCTCTTCAATTGCCTATTCAGGGTGTGCCTATCTGTTATGGTTCCAAACTCACTCCATTTTTTTTTTCTGTTTTTTTGCCTTCCAATTCTTATTTGCAGTCCAATCTACTTGTAACCGATGAGAGATATCCACATATCGTATATATCAAGCGAGAAACTTTTGATGATATTCATATGAAAGCTTCTTCATCTGCTCATGACGTAAAAATAGACTTGGAAGGTTTGTCAAACTTATCTTCTGAGTTGTGCGTAACTATTGGAAAAAAAATTACGACCTGAGCTTTGGCCCAAATGGTGATGAGGGATGAGTGGGGACTAGTTCAATCCTAAGTTTATTTCTTTCCACCAATGTTATAAGGACATACGTTTTCAATTTGTGTGGACTCGGTGCTTTAAAAGTTGATCTTGTTAGCAATTGGTGTGTTATGTAAATACTCTTCATGTTATGTCAGCAGTCAGCACATATAGATACTTCTTGAACATTCCGTAAATGTGTTGGACACACTATCTATATGCATCATAGTTGGTGATCTGCAGATCATTTATTATGTGTGTTCTGTTACGATTACAACCAAAAAAACATACTGGCTACTTTTATGGATTGGAGAGAGAAAGGTGTTGGAAAGTAATAGTGTGGGTTGGCGGTTATTTGGATAAGGGAAAAAGAGGAGTGGTCGTCAGGGGAAGCACAGAGTATTGTTTCTTATTATATGTATTCATCACCGAATACATATTAATTTTCCTTTCCAGCATGCATTTTATGGCTGTTACAAGTATTTTCTCTGTGTCCCTTATTATTGACCTCGTGATCTTGTTTCTTATTATGATTTTCATATATTCAAAGTTTACTTTCAGTTTTAAATAGCGTTTGTCCTTTATTGTGTGTAGAGGAGATGATTAGAGGTCTTACTCAGATACCTTGGGAACGTGTGGATGTCAGCTTTCAAAAAAGTACACAACGATACATTGCTCATAATACTATTCAGGCAAGTTTTGGTTGGCTGCATTAATACTCGTAAAGTTCCCAATTAGATGTACTAGTAACTAGTAACAACATAGTCTCGTAAAGAAGCGTGTTGTGTTCTGTGTTTTCTTTTTCTTACATATATCTACTCCCTCATACATACAGGTGAAGAGCTATTGGTTGAATTCTGATGGTGCGGATGTGGTTTTCCATATCATAGATTCCTTCCTTCTCTAAGGCTTGTAGAAGTTTTTATTTTTTATTTTTTTCTGATTGGCGATTCAACAACGGATTAGACTGCTACTTTATTGTAATTTTTATCATTTATAAAGCTTATCAGGTACATTGCCCACCTTGAAGGTAATGTGATGTATATTTGACGTCAAATGTAAATGCAGAGATGTGTAATTTTTCACTATGTTTTCAAGCCAGTTCCGAATTGTCAGCTCCTACGTGAACGCATGTACAAGGTCTTCTAACGTGAGGCTCTCCACCTTAAGGTCTGTTTGATTACCATTTTGTTTTTAGTTTTCAATTTTTGGGTGCTCGAGATATTAGGAAAGTATATGGGTAAAACAATGGATGAAGAAGAGGGATTGATTTTGTGCAATTTCTTCTACATCCCTCATTTCTCCCATGTATTTCCCTCAACCTCTAACACAAAAAATGAAAAACTCAGAGCGAAAATGCTTATCAAATGAACCCTTCAGACAACAGAGACAATTCCTGAAAGTCAGAAAATCACAGCGTGTTGGATAAGAAACTAGAGTAGATGCTCTAGGAGAAGTTGGAATTTTGTACGGTTGGCATATAAATCTTGGGATTTAGGAGATGTTTACAACTAAGATTTTAAGGGAGTTGGAAAGCGTAGCTGTATGTGGAAGAAAACGTAGACATTGGTGTTATATAATTGCAAATTTAGAATCCACCCGAATATGTGATAAAGACCGCATTGCGCCATTTACCCGCCTCCACCGCCACGGCCGCAATTGTCTGCCCACAACCACCCTAGGTTGCACTTTTATGAACACTCCAACTTTCAGGGGTATGCGGTGCCAAACGTGGAACAGAGTTGCACGAATTAGAGATCGCACGAATTCTGTTCCACGCGAATTAGATTCGTGCAACTCTGTCCCAAACTAGTACAATCGATTGCGTTTGAAAGTTTCAGAAACATGTCCTTGCTTGGATACGAAATCTTTCTCTGGAGAAAGAAATAAATATGCTTTCGGGAAAATTAATATTTATATCCTTTCAAATACAGTACAAATGGAGAATCACAGACACTGTGATCCTTTGTCATCTTTGATAACTTATTTTGTATCAAAAGTGAATGGGAAATTGTTAAAATTAAATACACAATTACATTTGAATTTTGAAGCATGCAAGAAACGTTCCTCTTCTTTCTTTTCTGCTTGTAAGGAGAAAGCTTTGCAAAAGAATCAGGTTTTTCTACTCTAGATTTACATCTTCCTTTACGATCCCTCAGGAACTTCGTCTTGAACGAAAAAACAGAAGCTCGTCAAGACGATGAATAACCGCGGTAGTCTTTGATTGTTCTGGAATTCGTCTCCTCAGAGCTGCATATAATTATCGAAAATACAACTAGTCAGCCAGCTGCAGCAATCTATGGTATACCGTTATCTTGACACATTGCAGAATAGTTTCGGATTACCGTTCTTTTTCTTCGATACTTTCTCTATCGGTGTTGACAGCCTCAGATTCTTGCTTCGGTGATGAAGCAGCGGCTTTGTCTGTCAGCTGACTTGATAAACTTTTACAGAACTGAGATCATTTTCAACAGAATATTGTCTCAGTAAGTAAACATTTTTTATCATAAGTGCATATTTAGCTAATGGATATGGTGATCATACTTCTTTGTACAGTCTAAGCTCCCCTGCAGATCTTGATATTTCAACGACACAATTCGTGGGAGCAACTTCAATCACCTGCCATTTTCGCCTGGATGGTCAGAGATCGAACTTAAAATCCTCTATTCACGACTCATTCAAATGTATGGCAATTTCTTACCTCTGCTGATATGTCAATGTATGATCTACAGCATCTAGTCATAATCTGTTTTGCATGCATTTTCATCTGATGAAAAAAAAAAAAAAATTCACCATGAGTTGGCAGGAAAGAACTTTGATAAGTGGATAAAGAAGCAATCGAATATGATTTTCGTGTACCCTGAAGTTGTTTGTTCTTGCTACTGAAAGGCTCGCATCCGTTGCAGCAGCTTCTATTTTCTTCATGGTTTCAGTAATGGTATGCTTGGATCCAATCCTTGTTTTATGCTTGTTCTCATCCTAAATTAAGAGCACGGTTTAGCATTATTACTTGTTATAAGCGAGAAAAAAAAAAACAGTAGGATTATAAATATTTTAGGATATCTTTTCCTTCATTGTGAACTTGCCTGTTCCTCGAAAAGACCTGACAGATCGAGATCATTTGACATGGCTATCAATTGGAATGCATTTATAAAACTTGAGGATTTTGGAATTTTTGTCTCCGCCACATTCTCCTGCATGGAACAAATAACAATTGTGCAAAATCAGATATGTATGTGCAGTGAAGGTGAGATTCTAGCATTTTTCTCTGCGTTACAATCATGCGGAGCTTTTACCTCAATTGAATCAAATGCGGCATTAACATCATCAAGGTAGATTTTTTCGTCACTATCATTTCCATATGTGGGCACATAATCTTGTTGAAACCATTCATTTTCGATAATCTCTGGTATTGTTATCCGCTGCATTGATAAAAGGAACATATATATGAGGCCGTGTAATGAATCCCAACACGCTATCGCAAAATGCTTAAGAGCGTGGAATTTAAGCATCAGAGCTATACCGTTCTAGGATTTGGATCAAGTATTCTGGAGATGAGCTTCTTCTGGTCTTGTGTAAACCACTGCGGAAATGTGTATTCTGCTCTGGATATCTTTTTGTATAAGCTCATCAGGCTAGATTCATCAAATGGTAGATGACCAGCTAATAATTCGAAAAGAATCACTCCAGAAGACCAAACATCTGCAGCTGCTCCATCGTACACCTTACTCAGGATCAGCTGTTCACGAATATTGAAATCGTCAAACCATCTGATGAAATGAAACTCAGGGTATGATTTTTGTATGTATCGATAACCTGCATACCTCGGGAGCTACATAACTTGGAGAGCCACATTTTGTTGACAAAAGGTCACCAGGCTGTCGATCATCAAAGTTTCGCGCAAGCACCAACACAAATCGTCAGCTTTCAACAGTAAAATTAAAATAACTGAACAACGGCTCGAGAACATAAGGATTTATGTTGCTACCTTACGCAGTGCGCTGAGTCCAAAATCGGACATCTTCAGCGTTCCATTACTGGCTAGAAGCAAGTTTTCAGGCTGCATATGACACCATAGTCAGTTGAGGAAGCTCCAATTGTGAAAAAAAAAGTTGTAAATTTAGGTTTTACTCACCTTTAGATCTCTGTGATAGACACCTCTGTTGTGACAGTAGTCCATTGCATCAATCAATTGCTGAAACAGCTTTCTTGCCTCCCCTTCACTAAATCTTTTGGCATACAACTTTTAAAGAGTTTGAAACAAAATTAGCTAAACTTGTTCACTTCAATCAAAAGCAACCCGAATCACCAGATTTAAAATCGGACACGAAAAGTAAACTAACTCACCATCTTGTCTGCGAGTTGACCTCCAGATACATGTTCCATAACTATGTAAATTTTTGTCTTTGTTCCTATGACCTGTAAGTGAAAATTTTGAGAAACAAATTAATTGAAGAAAAAATTGATGCAAAATATATACAACCGATAATCTTTTAAGGCGTAAAGATACATACCTCGTGAATGCGAACAATGTTGGAGTGGTTGAGAAGCTTCATTGTTCTAATTTCTCTCTGGACCTGTAATTTTGGGCAACAATTTGTTCTGTTTTTATTTAATTTCTCCAAAACAATAAATCAAAAAGAAGAAAAACTGAAAGGTTTGGAAACATGCCTGATTCTTGAGATTGGTTTGCATGACCATATGCTTATCCAGGATCTTGATTGCAACATACTTGCCATTGGTGCTGTCGAGTGCCAGCTTCACCTTGGCGAAAGTACCTTCTCCAATCGTTCGCCCGAGCTGGTACTTCCCTACGTTGCTGGCAAATCCCATGTTTCTGAAGCGAATTCTCAGAGAAACCGAATCATAAACTAATGCGACATACTCCTGCTTCTTGTCTGCCAACAAACAATTTATTCTTGTTCCTAAATAAATCTCCTGCAAATGTTTCTTGAATTGTTATATGACCGCTGCTGCTGCAACTCTTGTTTGAATATTGAATGGAACAAATCAAACTTGGCAAGTAGTTGGTGTTTATTTGTAGTAGCTGCCATCCCATACTTATGGTGCTGAATTGGTGATATTAAATAATTTGATATTATGAGGGCTACACTTCGGGGACTAGTTGCGGTTCTTAAATAATGCTAGCTACAAAGGAAGAAGAGTTTCCCATTTTATTTGACAGTTTGACAGTTTGAGAGAGAGAGTCGCTGCATGGAAACTACAGTTTGACAGTTTGGTATGAACTGTGAACGTGTTTTGAATGGAAGGTAGCCGTTGATATCTGGGGCCATATAGAAAGGGTTTTCACTTGGAAATTTCTTTGTTTTTTATTTTTTTATTTAAGAAAATTATTAGTCACTTAGTTCTACGGTCTAGTAGTATTCTTTTTAACTTGCTAGTGCAAATAGTTGTATAAAAAAATGAATGCTATTTAGACACGTAATGCTAGAGATATCACATTTTTGTGAGGTCACATTGCAATTACTTTGTATTGCCTCTCTCTACTATAAATGAACTTCACTATTATTAGTGCTATCCATACATCCTCTCAATTATTTGCCGAGTCAAATGAGTTAAAGAAGATTAATGACAAAAAATTAACAAAGATGTGTAAGAGATAAAAAATAAGTGTGTGAATGCATTCCTTATTATTATTATTTTTACAACAATAAGGATAGATAATTACTCTAATTTCATCTTAACTCAGAAAAGTGATTTGAACTTGATTGCAGATTGGTGGAGCACACTATTCTAGCCTACATGTCTAAACTCAAATTTACATCTTTTTTGTTTTGGTCAAACCCCGATTTCATTAATTTTGGAATATTAAAAGTTTTCATATGGATAATAAGTCAAGGACAAGAGGGACCTACAGATTAGAATGATGGTGAGCAAAACCAAACACAATTGTGTAACACAACGTTGTTATCAAAGGAAATACAACTGCCCAACCAAATGTGGGTTATATTTTTGAAATGGTTGGATATGGTTTTTTCCAATGCAATTGGGAAATTAATGGAAACCTGGAAATTAATTAAATTTGACTCAATCGTCAATACTACTGAACTGGTCAATAATAAGTTTGATGAAGAACTATCGCACACCAAACGTTTTGCGTTTTTCCTTTTTGATTTCGTCCACGTGACCAAAGAAAAGAGATTTATATGGCTATAAATTTACTTTATTCCTAATCGTCCGATGGTAGCTAGCTTTTCTATGGGAAGATGCATGGGAATTACTAGTAGCCTTTTGCTTTAACATTTGAAGCGTTAAATATTTCTGACTTTTATTTTTTGTGTGATCAACAAAAGCAACCAGTATTTTATTACTAAGCAAAGTTGAAATTTGGGTTGTCTGATATTATACAGGACAATACTAAGATTGCGTTTGGATGAAAAAACTTAAGATTATTAAAAAAATTCAAATTGACGAAAATTGAAATGTCGGAATTTTTTTTTTTAAATTTGTGAATTGTCTTGTTTTGCTAACCTAAAAGAATAATATGAAAATTAATATGTGTATAGAGTTATTAATATATAACTGGGAGATATAATTAGAAACTATGCTAGTGGTGTGACGGCGATGGCGGTGACGATAGTTGGTGATGATGGCAATAGCGGCAATGGCGACAACGGTATGTGGTGGTGGCGACGTGGAGATGTTATGATGATGGTGGGTGATGATAGTGGTGAATGATGGTGGTGGGTGGTGGTGGTGGTGGTGGTGGTATTGATAGTGGTGTGTGTTGGTGGTGGTGATGGTAGGCGGTGGTGGTGGTCACCACAATGGTAATGGTAACGTGATTTACCAAAGAGACCGAATTTTAATAAATCACATTATATTACCTCTGTAATAGGAGAGTACATATATGGAAATAAGTTCACCGCCATGAAGCATCCCTATCTACTAAATCAGTGACATTTGTGTATTATTGGAACGGAATGTTATGGTGGCAGTAAACTCGTTTCATGTAAGGTTTTCTCATGTAATACATCAATTTTAACTTCTCACACACCCTTTTATATTTTGAGTCGTTGGATTGAAAAATTCAAACGAAAACAACTAGCAAAATTAAACAGGAGTACATATAAAACTAAAATGGGTATGTGTGTTTAGCGTGTACAATAGATGCGTGTACAATATATAATAACAACTAGGAAAAAATATGCATGTATGCAACACCTTTCTATTTTGATCGACAGCATTGACGATTAGATGCGTGTACAATAGTAACAATACCATCTTCTATTGGTTGTTGCATGTGATATGTGTGTTGTTGAGAAATGCCCAATTCTCTCAGGAAACATGTGTGTTTTATGGAGTGCGATGACAGCTATCTTCCACACACACACACACACAGGGGAAATTAGAAAGCATAGTATTTTCATTAATTTTGTTAAAATTAAAAAAGAGAATTTACATATCCATTGCCAGTGGCAAAGCTATGTGAGGGCAAGGAGTGGTGGCCACCACTCTCCTCGCCGAAAAATAAGACTGGAGCAGTGGTTCAGCCCCTTCCCTCGCCGGAAAACTCAGCCCCAGTGCCCCTCCCATGGCTGATTTCTGGTGTTCTGCTGCTGCTGCGCAGAATTGAATCTGATTACCAATTTTATTTTATTTTTTTAAATCTAGGCCAAAATGACGTTGTTTTGGTCTTGTAACAAAAAAAATCAAACGAAACAACGCCATTTCGTATATGTTTGAAGAAAAAATATATGTATAAATATCCCCCTTTCCCCATTCTCTATCTTCTTCAGTAAGAGGCTTTGCCAATCAGAGACAGAGAGCAAAGTGCTCTTCCCCCCCCCCCCCAAATTCCCAGCAGCAAGTTCCATTTGGCTTTTTGCTTCCACGCCAGCCACTCCTCCAAGCTCCAACCACTCTTTAGCCGCCAGCTGCAGCCATTCTTTAGGTAAATTTTTTAATTCCTAAATCTATGATCCCTAACCCTAATTTATTATTTATTGTTTAATTGGTATAGAATCTTATGGTAATGCACTAATATGGTTATTGGTTATTGGTTCTTGATAAGAATTCTATGATTATTGATGAATGAAATTATGAAATTATTGTTTTGGGTAAAAATTAAAATTTGAAATCTTGATTATTGATTAATTAATTGAATTATTAATTAATGTATACAATTATTCATACGATTAGTTGAATTAAATTGTTATTTATTGAATAATTTGTATGCTTATTGGTATTGGTTAATTGAATTGTTGGTTGGATTAGTTATTAGGCATATTAGCATAGTCCACTATAGGATTAAGAGTCTAAGATTTTTTTTTTCTTGAACCTTGCACTCTCTTAAGTTCGCCCCTCCTCCCGTCAATTCCTAGCTTCACCACTGTCCATTGCCCACGAGGTTTACTTTATCAATGGTCCAACATCATGTGGGCGATGTCACCTAAACATCTCATTAAACAATTAATTGAATAGCCATTACTACGGTTTAATGGTATTTCTCTTCACTTATAAGTGAGAGGTCTTATATTCAATTTTCGCCAAAAGCGAATTTGAACCACATTATTGTTATAATTCATGCATTTAATGATTAAATGGTGGAAACATGTTTCTAAGCACTTTAAAACAAAACTTGAACCATGAAATTCAAAGCCTAGTAGTTGTGGTGAACCAAAACTCAACTCAAAACACAAAGAGAGTTGAGAAACTTTTATACCTTTATTGAATCCTCTTCACTTATAAGTGAGAGGTCTTATATTCAATTTTCGCCAAAAGCGAATTTGAACCATATTATTGTTATAATTCATGCATTTAATGATTAAATGGTGGAAACATGTTTCTAAGCACTTTAAAACAAAACTTAAACCATGAAATTCAAAGCCTAGTAGTTGTGGTGAACCAAAACTCAACTCAAAACACAAAGAGAGTTGAGAAACTTTTATACCTTTATTGAATCCTCTTTGCATAAGGAAAGACTAATCACCCAAGAGAGAGGCCGGGCCTTCATTCCTTGCTTCTAATTTGCTCCACGATTTCTTGGAGAAGGAGGGTGAATGGATTCTCCAAAAGTCTCCAAAGTTTGAGACCTCTAATTTTCGACACCAAGGATGGTGAAGGAAGAAGATGAGTGACTATGGATAAAGAAAATGATAGCAATCTTCACCCATAGTGTCCAGCCTCCTAGAGAGAAAGAGAGAGCTTGTGTTCTCTCATCTTTCCTCAAAGAAACCATAAATGAAGAAAATGCTATAAAGATACTTTTATACATATCTTCAATGGAGTAGCAAACTTGTAATAAGTCCAAAACCACTTTCTCTCTATGCAAAGCTGGCCTCCAAATTGTTGGCGAGTTAATTGCCCATTTTGTATTAGTTGTCACACAACTTAAACCTTATGTGCCTTATGGATCAAAACCCTTTTGAGTCCCGAAACCCACCTTAAAGCCTAAGACGAACCTTTCGTTCTTGATTAATTAACTTTAATTAATCATTTCTATATACAATTAAACTATTTAATTGTCCTTACACATCTTTGTTATTTCCTTCAGTCATTACCTTGCATGGTGTGTGATCTATTAGGTTCCTTTTAGCAAGGCAATGGGCAATTAGAACTCTTACTAATCGATTATGAATTGAAACTTACGTTCAATTCTCCTTTAAGTGATTATATACCATTATGGCTTTCACAAGCCATGAGTGACACCTAGCAGTATGTCATGGCTCTCAAGCTAGTCAGAAGAGGTTGGAGAACCTATTCAGTTTCAGATTACAAATGCAAAATGGTCTTTCTCTAATACAATACTCCTGACCCTATTATTTAGTTTGATAGTTTATTTATGTCTACTATCCAATGTGATTCTCTTACTTATATGATTACCTTGAATGTAATTTGGAACGACTTCCTAAATCTCATTCATATTCTAGTTAGAGATTCTTAATCATATCATATAGTATTTTCCTTCAACATTTTGAAGGTTAGAGATCCTTTGTTGCACATTCACCTACCTCTATGGTTAAGTAGCTTAACCCCAACTATGTCGTGGACACCCTCTAACGAAGTGCCTTTGACATAGTCAAAGATTAAGGACCTAACCACAAGACAACTATGATGCCTCAGGTCAAATGACTACTTTGCATTATCCTAACCATGAGTTCTCATGTGATATGAGTACGACAAATCCTTGTTATTCGCATTCAGTGGACTCATTCTCTATTGAGCACCTACATACTTGTCTTGGTATCAGTCACACTAATGACTCGAGACTAGTCACTCTCCGTGAGAGAAGACATAACACGTACTGATCTTAACGACTGTCAATGTCCAATTGGCAATCCTATGATCATGAACGTTTAGGATATGTGTACAAAAGAGAACGGTCTCATAAATCTAACTTCTTTATATCACGTTCTCCCAATTACATATTCCTTGGACTTATTGTTCAAGCATATAACATTTATATGAGACGGCTTTAAACAATAATTTTTTCCCTTATATTAAACTAGATTAGTTTAACATGTGAAATGTCCATAAAGTATCATCATCTGATTGGCTTTTAAGGCACATTTCCAACAAGCATCGCAGTAACTTGGACTAGAATGACGACTTATGTTCTGTAAGCCATAAAGAAAGGAGTTTCTCCAGTTGCTTTTCGAGTGGTTGTCCAGTATACCCATAAAACTCCAGGCAGTTCTTCTGGCCACTTGTTCTTCTATTCTAGCATTTTCTTCAAGTATTGTAAGATGGTTTTGTTTGAAGCTTTCACCTACCCATTGCCTTGAGGGTAGAACGAAAGATGAAGGTGAGATGGCAAATGCTGAGTTTCTTGTACCAGTTCATGACTTTAGAGCTAGTAAATTGTAGCCCATTATCTGTAAGTATGATATGGGGAATTCCAAAATGACAAATAATGTTCTTCCAAACAAAATGTTTCACATCTGCCTTGGTGATCCTAGATAAAGGTTCTACCTCAATCCACTAAGAGAAGTAATTTGTGGCAACTATCAAGTATTCCTTATTTCCTTAAGCTTTCTTCAGTGGTCCGACTAGATGGATTCCTAATTGCATGAAAGTCCATGCCCCTATTAGAGTACTAATTTCTTCATCATGTTGATCGTTCATGGGAGCATACCTTTGACATTTATCATAAGGCTGAGTGCAATCTACGATATCTTGTCACATGGTGGGCCAATAGTATCCTACTGTCAATGCCTTATGTGTGATTGATCTTCCACTAGCATGGTTCCTGCATATGGATGTCACTTAGGATATGTAGGTCCATCTTCGAGGTGATATATACAGTGTAGGGTCAAAAGTATAAACGTCGATAGAGCTACCGAATAATTGTATATCGTGAGGTCTTTTGGACCAGTTTCCTGGCCAAGTGGCAATCTTCAGAAAACTTTTTGTCTTGGATATAGTCAATGATCTCGTCCATACAGTTCTCCCTTATGTCGATAATGGCGACTACTTTTGGTTCAGGTTCGTCAATGCTCAAGGAAGCAAGGTACTCGAGCAGCGCCTTGGCGAGGTAGAGTTCATCGTCAGATGATGAACTGCGTAGTCACCCTTAACTTGGTTAACTATCAGCATTGAGTTGCAATGGACTGACCTTTCCTTGACTTGCAATTCTACCGCAATCCTTAGCCTGGCGAGCAATGCCTCATATCATGGTTCGTTGTTGCTAGCCTTAAATCTAAGCTTCAGAGCTTGTTTGGGAATAGATCTGTCTAGCGTCATCAAGACCATCCTTGCCTTACTCCATTTATATGTTTGCTATCTAATTCGTGAATCTCTTTGAAGCTTGTCTACAGTAGTATAGATCTGCAATAGACTTTCCCAAATTTTCTTCTTGGGGGAACATCTTTGTTAATGAAAATGGTGTCGTGTCTAGAGGCAGTGGAATAGTGTGGTCGGGTTGAATTAGTCATAGCAGTAGTGGAGTGATTTGGTCATGAGGAATATGAGTTCACTCTTATTGAAAGCAACAATTACTGGAACTGAATTTATGCACCGCTGTAGAGAGTGGAGATGCTCAATCCAAGTACCTATAAAAAAGCAAACAACCGTAAGCAAGCCAAAAACCGGGCAGAGGGGTGTGCCGATCAAAGGCTCTCTGACGGTCAAGTTAGTAAGTAATATTAAGAATCAAGCAGCAGGCGAAATAATAAGTATGTAAGAATTATGTTACCAGAGATGAACTCTAAAATGGTGTATTTATACCAATTGAGGAGATTGTCTTTTAGGATAATAGGATCCTTATTAAACCGGGAGAATCCTATATGATATCTAGGAAGTAGACATTGCACATTCTTAAGAGTGTGATTACTTGCGGTGCACACCAATCCTTAGATTGTAAGGACTCCAAGACCATAGAAAACTCGCTGATTCTTTGCAGGATTAAGCTTTTGTATCTTGCGAAACAAGCATGCATGGTCAATCTCAGCGAAGTCGTCGGACTTCACCTGCTGATTCCGGAACAGGATGCTGAAGACATCGCTGCTCTGTTTAGTCAACTCCGCATTAGAGGCTATTGAGTCGATGATCTGCCTTTTGAAGTATGTGTATTCAGATTCGGCTTACTTCGGCCTTGAAAAATCATGGTCGCACATTAAATTATGGAAGAAAAGTCATTGTGTACAATTTATTTCCACGAAAAAAAGTTATGGAAAAAAAAAAAGAAAAAAATCCCAACAAACGGGCTACCAGGCGGGCTTAAAATGCCCAACCCGATGGCCAAAATGCTTTAATTTGACTTGATGAGATCCACTTGTGTTTGGCTCAGCCCTCCATTGAAGTTGAATTTTGTTAAAAAAAATGGGCTAAACATTTTATTCACATTGCCCTATGATAATATTGTCATCTCCATTAGAGATGGCCTAAAAGCTTATTGATTATGTACCTGAACTAGGCACTTGTCGGATATCGGATACGTACCCTTTTGCTTTTTAAAAGATGTCAGATAGGACTTAAAGCCCTATGATCCTTAAAGTTTAAACTTACATATATGAATAAAAGTCATAATATAGACATTGAATCACATCACGTGTGCACAATATTTTCACGATATATGTCGAACACGCACACCCCCAATCCACTTCCCAAGAAAATTATGAACTTCAGCAATGAAATTTGGAAAATTAAGGGGTGTAATATCCACAAACCCCATTTTACTTTTCACACACCTTTTTAATTTTCGTTCGTCGGATCGGATGAATTGAAGAAGATCAACGGACATAAATTATCAAGGGATGTGTAAGAAGTAAAATGAAGTGTGTGGATAGCACATCCCAAAATTAATCCACGTGAAACACTTAGTCCAAAAAAAAAAAAAACATGTGAAACATGTTGTCCAAAAAAAACCACATGTGAAACATGAGATAGACCACTAGACGATTTTTGTGAGAGGACCGTCTAGGCTCAACCGGATCCAACCTAGACTGACTGATAACCTATATATATATATATATATATATATATATAGGATTTAGGAACACACGTTTTTAATAAATATTTTGATATGCAAATGTAGGGTTTATTTTGTAATGTATTGTAACTCGGTGACATAATTCATTCATATGTTTCTTTATCTCTAAAACATATGCAATGTACATGAAGCGATAGAGACATTTCATTGATAAACAAGTATATGTCACATGGGTACACTTTTTTTGGCGACCAATTAATACATTGATCTAAAAATAATTTGCACAAATAAACATAAATGGTGATCCCTTAAATAGCTACTACAAACACAACCAAATAAACATAAATGGTGATCCCTTAAATAGCTACCACAAACACAATAAACCTATATTCGCACACACGAAATTGGGACATACATTTACAAACACAATAAACCTATATTCGCACACACGAAATTGGGACATACATTTATCGTTTTGGATGTAGGTTTCAAAGTCCCTGGAAATTTTAATCGCGAAGAGCGAAGAAACAATTTTCTCGAAGATTCTGTACGTGCTTGTTTTATTAATTAACCATTCCATATTAATTGGACAAAATATGAATAATTTATATGGTGTTAATTAGTCACAAGAAAAATATTTGGAACTTTAACGAAAAGTTTCTGATACTGTCCACTTTAATGAAAAACCATACTTTTACACTAAAATGTCAATTCCGATACTATTCATTTTATCTTTTATTTTGTCCTTATCGTTAAAACTCAAAGTTTTTAAGTCTTTTTCACATATGTTTTCCCTAAAATATTTGAGTGTATTAGAAAATACGTCATGAGTTACGGCATGTGCATGCCGTTTGCGATTTTCGGTCATCCCATTTTGTACACAAGCATTCGAGGAGACTTGGAATATTGGATCCGATAAGTTTAGTGCCACAAACACAAGTCAAACTTAATTTGTAAACCAAGTCAAGTTTATCTTCTTATCACCAAAATTTGTAATGGTCGTCATATTTTCCTTTCCAACTTTGATGACAGCTACGGAGGGAGGGAGGGAGGGAGGGAGGGAGGATATATAAGGACCAATTGTAAACTAGGATGGTTCAAACATGTTGCTTTGTGTTGAAAGAACCCGTTTATTGGGTTGTCTGGCTTATTCAACCTAGTTATATCGTTGATTGTCAGAATTGATATGGTGGATATGATGATTACGGATTGTAGGGGTGATTGCACGTATGATTGCACCCCTCCCACGTGTGGTACATGAGGAATTCTTGGCTTTGTGCTGGAGAATTTTGCGTTCATGTTCTTGCTAGTTGTTCGTCAAGTTTCCACCATTTTATTCAAAAGTGAGTTTGAATGGCGAAAAGGTGAAATCAAATTAAAGTAGAGAAATAGATAAAACAAGCTAAAAAGCCCGCGCGATGCCGCGGGTTTACAACTCTAGTTACACATAATTACAACAATGTTTCTAATTCTACTACTACATATATACAACCATACTCACAAATCCTATTTACACACATACTAATTCAGCATTTAAAACTACGTTAAATGAGGGGAGTTTTACCTCAATACAAACTCGATAAAATTAAACAAATCCCCATGTCATTGGTTCTTCATTTTGACCCCTGCTCTTATAAACTGGGCTAAATGTTGCACATAGACTGTCAATTTCCACTGCAAATAAGGGATTCTCCATCGTCAGCACCATTGGTGTTCTCTTCCTGTTTTCCTTTGCCCAGATAATGGAAATTCCAATTTTGAAGCCATTTTCTCACACAAATAACAACAAAAATAAATTAAAAAAATTAGAGGAAAACAAAGAAAAGCAACTTATATTTGGAGACAAAAAAATAAGCAAAACCCAGTTTAGAACTCACCATAAAAAACCGAACTTTACCCAAGAACACTCCAAAAAACTAAAAAAATAAAAATAAAAAAAAATTGAAGAACGCATTTGAATTTTACACATAATGCAGCAAAGGAAAGACAAAAGAAAAGAGTAAAGCCATCAAGCTCAACCCTTTAATTTAAACTCCAGAAAAATTAAACACAACCCCATTAAATCATTAATCTTACTGTAATGACAAATTATTATGGCCAAACTTTTGATGCCTATCAAAACCAAGTTTTCATATATATACAAAGCATCTATTTAACCAATGAATTGATGGAGGGAGAAAACAGAAACAAAAAAAACGGCCATTATTCAATTATGTGAAGAATTACTTGAAACGTACAAAAGGTTTGAAAATTAAACTGACATTAAAAAAAAATGAGATGGAGTGGAAATCACATACCAACATCAAGCTTAAATTTGTGGTGCTCATTTGTAGTGCTATTTGCAATTAGTCTTATCAGGAACTTCTGCACTGGTTGATGTCTCGGTCTTCTCCTTAGCTGCATGTACATTGTAGACTTGGGTAGATGAGAAGCAGAAGAAAATAAACTTATAGAGTTATAACTTAACTATCTATGTTGATTCATGTCCAACACATAATAACAATAGCAAATCATTTTTCATCTCGTGCACTGGTTTGTCATTGTCACTCAAATTCACAAATTCATTTACTCCAAATTTCTTAGTTATGACCAGGAAAAGAATGTTTAAGCAAAAATACGTTTGTGTTTTTCCACTAAACTACCTGTTAAACCAAATCCAAATGTAAAAAATAAAAAAATAAATACCTTCGTCAAACCTCTTGGGCTTCAAGTCCACCGATCCACCCCAATACTCAGTCGCGCCCCAAAAATTCTTACACCTTCAGTAGCCTAGATCATGCATGTATCAATATAAATACGGAAAAGAAAATAAATGCAATTTATTAGAACAAAGAATTTGGGATCAACAAAGTTATTCAAAACTTACAGCGAGGCCAATAAACAGCAACTGAGGATAATTTTTCATTTAGCTACATTCAGAGGGGCACCCAAACCTGATATTAAAAAACAAAATATCCAGTATAATGCAAACGAATCAATATGTAGTATCAGTTTAGGATGCATAATTCAAGGCTCTAAACCAAAAGTACTACTATTTTCAAGTGGAGGCTATATAAGTGATAATTTCAGCAACCTGTTGCTGAACCTGCATTTATCAAGACATAACAAAGTAAAGCAAACAAAAAAAGGTATTGTTAAATCTTCCTAACTAAAAATTCAAAACTATAAAGTACCTAAACATTTTCTCACTCCAACCAGGGACAGCAGAAAGTAAACGACCTAATATCTCAATTGATTGGTTAATGTCCTGTAAACCTTCCACTTGTTTATATGAGGATATCGCTGCAACAAAATCAAATAAAATTATAATAAATTCAACCAATATGGCATGAAAACCATGGGAATTAATCATATGAATTGAGTCAATTGACTGAAAAACACAACACAAAACATATCAAACCACCAACAAAACAGATCGATGTCCAAAGTTTGCAGTGAAAAACACAGAGACTTAAAAATTAAAAGGAAAAAATAGTGACAACCATTGTTAAAAATACACTCAAAGTGTTAGTAAGATTAGATAAAGAACATTTAAGCATTCATAAAACAACATGAATAAATAGAGGAAATATTAGCAACTCACCCCATAGAAATTAATAAAACATTGTAAGCCTGCAATGAACAAAAGAAACAGTGAAAATTAAAAAAATAATAATAATCAAACATGCAAAAATTCAAAACAAATCAAACATGCAAGAATAAAAATTAAATAAAATTAAACACCACATCAATCCAAAACCCAACTTTTATTTCTTTTCTTTTCCTCCAAATCAGACCCCCAAAATCTAAAATGGATCGAGCCTAGGGAAGTTGCAATTTCTCACCGGTTCCAGAAGCTGCATGCCCTGCGGTGCTGTAAAGGAATCGTCACATATTATTCAATGAATATGCACACTATAGACTACAGAACTTCCAGAAAACAAACTTTGTAAATTATGCATAAAAACATTTACAAATGGCAAAGATTCATATTTGCAAAGGAAAAAAAATACAAATTCATTCAAGCAAAGAAAGCAATAATTGCAAAAGAAAAGAAAAATTGTAGACCAATAATTTATGGTAATAATTATTATGAAGAAAGAAATTGTTCTTACTTTTCTACTCGCTATCAATGCTGTTACAACCATTGATAAGATTTTTTAAGAGCTTTCATAGTTGTTAAACTAATTGACTTTTTCTGTTGAGAAGGGTGCCTTCTATAGGAAGAAAACAAAATATAAAGTTAGTTATAAACTTAATGCACAACATAATGAAAGTGTGAAATTACATTAACTGTCAACTTACCATTGATACCATTAAAAATGCATACTGACAATAGTTTATAAAATTGTAGGCTGCTTTCTTTCTTCCTGTATTTTAACAAATTCAGTGATGAATGGTGTGCAGGTGAGGCTATAAAAGATGAAATTACCATCAGGAGAAGCTTCCTTTTATAAGTCTTGAATGGAAGTAGAAAGAAATAATTCATATTGCACATCATGCCGAAGCTCATACATATTCTCATGAACACACATCAATTTCGTTTTAAAAAATTACACATGGATTTCAAGAGAATCTAATAATCCACCAATAAACTAATCTCAAGCAAAAGAGTTCAGCCATAAATTTTACCTCCATAGTAATAGGCAGTAGGTAGATAAGCGTTCAGGAGATAGCATATAGCGGATGTACGAAATCATGTAACAAAGGGGTAACAGAGTGCTTGATGGGATATGTCCATTTGCATTATTGATTTACTGTGTGATTCCAAGGTCTTTTTGGTTCAGCATAGAGAAGATCAAATAAAACTCCAGATTACCTGTTGTTGGAAACAAATAATAAATATACAGGGAATTTTATAGAAAATCCAGTTCATATAGCCTCAACTCAGCATCACACAGAAGAATGTTAAACATGCAACACGGAAACGAATCAATTCCCTAAACTTTCGAAATTGGGGATGATCTGAATATGGAATAAAACCTAGAATAACTTACCATGAGTACAGAAGGTTTTAGAAAACGATTAAAGCCCGTAACGCGGCAGTGGCCTCTACTGGTCGCGGTGGTTCCGCTGCAAGAGAGAGTAATTGAAATATGCAGAACAAAAAACCATAGAAACAACAGAAAGAAAAACTCAAAATTTTTAGTAAAATTAAGAACAAAAATCACTAATCACACAACCAAAATTAATAGAAATAAAAAATCAGTATGCACGAAAGACCATAATAATCTTTGAGGGGGAGGAAATTGATGAAACATCGAACCTTGAGAACTTGATTTACTGGGCAGCGAGTGGAAGAGCAGAAACGGGCTTGAAGGGGGTGAGTTCGGTTGGATTCTAGGGCTTGATAGGTGTGCATGCAGTCGAAATCGGTGATGGGGAGAAAATTGATTTCGTGCAAGAGATTTTTTGATCGAATCAAGTCGAGCAGGAAGGAAGAGAAAACTGAGTTTCTCGCTTGAGGTTGCTAATCATGGTTTTTAGCAAGAGAGAGAGAGAGAGAACTGGAGATCGGAGAGCCATCAGAGCACGAAGAGCTTTTGTGAGGCAAAGATCGAAATCGAAATCAAAAAAGGAAGGCTCGAGAACTTCTGGAACCATGCAACGCGTCGACATCTCATAGAAGCAGAGGATGCGTGGATATCAGGGGCTCGACTTCTTGAAGAAATCGGGAGATTTCTATCGCACAGCAGGGACAAAAACGCCATTTTACTGTATAATAAACACAAAAAGCTAAACTTAAAGAACAACCAAAGGGTAAAAACGGAAGAACACTGGCGAATGAACAGTAAAAAGGATACAAAGGGAATTAACCAGATAGTTAGGCGTTTAGTATATATATAATTTCTTACCTCAAGAACGATTAAGTATTACTCAAATTCTCATTGAAACCACCGATTTGTGGATGTAATTTTCGCACCAGTGTTCTGCTATGCAAAATGGCACACCCTAATCCGAATATTTAAGTGGAAACCGAAATTGAGGCATGCTAGTCGACACCTAAAAGGTGACAAAGTCATAACATATAAATGATATGTAAAAAGTTCGAGTCAATTATAACTTATTTTTAGCTATGCCCCTGAAACTTCGTTTTGATCTTACTTTGCCCTTGTAACTCAAAAGTCACCACTTTATTCCCCATAAAATTCATTCCATTTTGATTTCTGGACTCTCTTTTGGCCCCCAAACTTATAGATGGCCTACAGAAACATATGTGAGACTCAACACTCTATAAAAATATGCCACATATGCAATAAATTTGATTATAAGGAGGGTGTAGTCAAACTCAGATTTGAGGGGATTTAAAAAAATTTAAAATCCTGGAGTAGTCAACTAACATATTTTAAATGATTTTTAGAATCCATGCAAATCTAGGTGTAATCAATCGAAATTTTAATAGTTATTTTTAAAGTCCACCCAAATCTAGGTGTATTAAAAAAAATTAAGCATTTTGTAGAATTTCATTATGTTGTGGATATTGTAGGATTTGAGAGCAAGAAGTATATATAACCAAGACCAATTAGAATCCTATCTCACCCCATAGAATTTCAAATATGGCTCTCTCTTCGTCTCCTGCCACTTTGTTTGCTCTTCTTCTTTCATCCCTGCAATTTTTTCTTCAATTTTCATTGCTGGGTTGCATCATTTATGGATAAATAGGATGCTAGGTTGCATCATTTCTCATATGGGTTGTATATGGGTTGCTGGGTTCCTTCATTTAAGTCATTTAAGGATAAATATGATGTTGGGTTCATCGTTTTCCTTCATCAGCTTGTTTGGTAATTGGTAATTGGTAATTGGTATAGTGTGTGGTCGGCATGTCTCATTTCATTGTTGGGTTCCTTCAAACCAGTAATCTTTATCTCATGCTTAATTTTGTATTTGTCGAAAATTAAAAATTTCAGAGACTTGTTATAAGGATCATTTTATCTCATGCCCAATTTTGTATTTGTTGAAAATCAAACGAAATTGTATTTGTTTTCAAAATTTGGTTAGCTGAAGATACATTTATCACCCTTTGATTTATTTGATGGTAAAGATTCAAAGTTGCAAAGTCTATCAAAATCCATAGCAATATGTTATATGAATCTTCTAAAATCTTCCAAATCTATATTGACACACACCAACCCAGAATGTCCACTTGGACTTCGAGTCGAGCCTTGCTGGCCAACACCAGGAAGGTGACGAAGACACAAGGTGTAGTGGTGATGTGGAAAATGCAAGTAAATTTAAACCTAAAAGTGACTAAATGCAAGAGTGCACATGTGAGTGAGATTGAACTCATTTCACACGTTATGTTAGAGCATAAGCAAAGTACAGTAAAAGTAGGATAAGGATTATACTATCGAAGGTACTCCCCTATACTAACATTTGCCAAGAATCCTCGTCGACAAAAGAGCTCTACCACTAAAACCTGGAGGGGTGAAAAACACGGGCGAGCGGGCCTGAAAATAAAGTTTTGTAAAACGTTTTTGAAAAATAAAAACCCCTTACTGTAAAACAAGTATAGTTTGCAAATATAACATACTACGTAAAGTATGAAAATACTCACCGTTGACAGTAATATCTCGAGAATGCAATACTTCACAATATTTCGTAAATAAACACATAACGTCCGGTAATCACAATATATCGCATAAACAAACGTATCATATCGAGTGTTCATCAACATATGTTGACACACGAGTTCATGCAAAGATATTTTGACATGAACATGATGGGTGTAATAATGATTTATATTCTAAAACTACAATCACGTGAAGATTGGCGTTAGGCGCATCACATATAAGTCCTAATTGCCTATATCAATCTAGGATATGATTGGCACCTGCATGGATCCAAAGTGAGCGTACGGTGCAATGTGAACATACACGTGAAGACTGGCCCTGACCCGGGTGAGTACTAACACCAGTGTAGCACACGATGAGCAGATACAATGGTAAATCTATAATTCTAGTCGACATAATACTATTTAATAGAATATTAATCATGGCCGTAAATAAAATTCCATAATAGTATGCATGTATGTGCATCCTGTAGGATTTAGCATAATTTCGTAAATTCCATCATTTTGCTAATTCTTATAAACATTAGTGTAATATGGGCATACATAGAAGATACTTTATAAAAAATATATATATATATATATATATATGTGGAAACTAAATAAATATATAAAATATTTAAAAGTAAAGACTCACTCACAAATATTTGCGAGGTCGCAGCTATTCGGACTAGGAAAGCCGAAGTCTCCAAGAGTAATCGCACCTAAGCATAATGATGAGACTCATTCGTAAAACTCAACTAAAATGATAAAATTTGGGAAAACGGAACGTGGATTTGGAATTAGGACGTTGAAATACCCTAAGAAGAGTCTCGGGCAAATTTTGTAAAAAGTCAACAAAAAAGTCAACTAAGCCGCCGAGGCAGTCAACTACATTAAAACTTCAAAATTTCACTAAATGGATGCCAAAAAAGGACTTGAGGCATCAAAATTAGCCTACAAGGAATTTCGAGAAAATTCTTTAAAAGTCAACAAAAGTCAACTAATGGTCAACAGTTAACTTTAAGGGAATATTCTATTAAACTTAACTAGAAGTTAATGAAATATTCCAGCCAGATTCCTAAATAGATCCTGGTTGGGATCTGGGTTTGGCATTTTTTTGTATCAAGTAGGGTTGACCCGATCTAGGCTACGGGTCGGCCGATTTCTGCGAAGAAGAAAACCGGAACTCGTAAAGGGATGGCCGAAAAACTTCAAAGGGCCATAATGGGTTCAAAACTCAACCATTTTAATCCATTCAAAAGCCGAAATGAAGCTAGGGAGATCAAAATTCAAAATATACCTAAATGAGACTGAGTCGTAGCCAAAGTTGGCAGAAAAATGCCTACAAAGACCGGGTTCCTCGTCGAAAAGCTGAGGAAGTTTCCCCCGAGTTATCTCTGCATCCAAATAACACCAAAACATCTCAAAAAATCCTAATTGTACTTCTAAACATGATCCACGAAGATCTTGGGAATTTTTTAGGCTTAGCTTTGCCGGGAATGGCAAGAAATCGTCAAAGAAAGTCTTGAACATTGGCGGTGCCATTGTGTAATGAGGGAGAAAAGGAAACCTTGGCTTCGTTGTTTCCACTTATATTTTATATATTTATTTAGTTTCCACTTATATCCTCACATCAGATTTATGCATGAAAATTAAGCGTGCACTCTCAACCAACATACACAAATCAGTTTTAATTCAAATGGATAAGTAAATTGAATTCACAACTTATGAATCACAACTGAAGGTAATCAAATCATATTGCAAGCATGAACATGGTTTCGAATTCCCCCCTAGCTAAAGGGGGTTTAGTTCCTCATACTTACAAAGCAACGATAAACAAATTTAGACATTGAAAACAAAAGAAAGAAGACATCTAAACGCTCCAACGATCCAAGTTGGACAACATGCAAATCCAAGCACTTTCCTTCCCTTCCTTTGCTACGGCACAAGGTGTTGGTGAGTGTTTGAAGGTTTGGTTGTATGGAGGAATGGATGTGAAGATGAATGGATGTGTTTGGATGAAAGTTGTATTGGAATGGGGATGAATTCTCAAGCAAAAACTGAATGTAATGGCTGCCACACACACTTCCTTTTATAGAGGAAGTGCACGGCATGGAGGGATGGATGTTGGTGTGAGCAATGATTCAAAGGTGAAAGTGAAGTAATGATGCAAAACATGGGGGGTGAAATGGAGTGGTGTTGCAACTATGAATGCAAGTAGGGAACATGAATGATTGTGTATATGGTAGATAAAGGAAAGGGAGGTGGAATGGTGCAGAAATGAGTCATAGGTGCAGGTTGATTCATGATGCACGACATGGGCAAGGAAAGTGAAGGAATGATGCATCAATGAGTGCATGTAGTGGAGGTAAAAGTGAATGAAATTTGATGAGTGAAGGGGACATGGGATGTGCAATGATTCAATGTAATGGTGTATGAAAACAGAAATAATAAAGGGGACAAGGGTGATGCACGGCATGGGCAAGGAAATGTGATGGATAACACCCCTTTGTAGCTGTCCATGTGCCTTCAAACTTGATTTTCTACACTCTTTGCCATGTGTTCCAAGTCACTTCTCATGTGTGTGCGCTATCATGTAATCATCATTTCCACATAACATCATTTCAGCTAGCAATCAAGTCCATGCCATGTATGAATGTTGTCTCTCTGTTCTTTACATGTGTGTGTGCTGTTTTCTATCTTTATTTCCACATGTACCAACTATTACACTTGCACACACATATGTTCTTCATTATTTTAGCTAGCAATCAACATATTTTCTACCCATGCCGTGTATGAATGTTTGTAGTTGTAGGTCAACACACTTGCACACACACATGCTGATTTCTAGCCTTCTAATCTTAAAAAACGTCCATCCTCATGTCTCCATGCTTGCACTATCCAATCTTGGCCCAAAAATGCTCCAAATAGCACTTTGTTGCCAACTTTGTTATTTGAACCTACAAACACACGAAAATAGCTTAAAGTACTAAAATAACTAGAATTAAACTAAGTAAATGCCAAGAAACAAGCTAACTAAGTTGCATAAATATGCACCTATCAAATTGTTAACCAAGTTGTTTTGCATGAAATTCGTTGTTTTCCATGAAATTCGTAGGAGTTTATCACCCATTACTTCTAGTGTTGTTCCTTGCTGTTTTGGAGTGTTTTAGTGTGTTTTGACATAAAAATCCGAAAATCTCATAAAAATTTGAAAAATTGTTTTGAAAAACTCAAAAAGAGTTGTTTTTGTGTGTTTATTTGTGTCTTAGGGTACCTTCCAACACAATGATGAGGATTTGGTTTTTAAGTACATGACTGTTAAAGAAAGATATAAACATGGATGAAAATTTGATTTACTCTTTGGTGTATGCTTGGTTGTGGTTATAATTTATAAATTCACCTGTAATCATAAAGGGAAATTCAGTTTTTGTAACATGCTTGAAGGAAAGAACTCAAATGAATGCTACAACCTTGTGAGACTTGAGCCTAAAACGTTTAGTTGGAGAGTTAATAATCTGTGCACCATTGTGTTCTAAAGTCGTTGCATGATCTCATTATTCTTTGCTTGGTTGCTACTTAGAAGGTGTTTCATCATTTAGTTCCAAATGCTAGAACTCATGCCTATTTCATTCAAAGCATGCTATTGATTTGCATAACACATATTCAAGATGAAGTTGTGTAGTGACCACCAAAGCCAAATTGCCATACCCCTATTTCAATATGTGTTTAAGTTTAACCCCGTTGAACCTTGTTAAGCCTATGTTCTTTGTTAACCCACACTATCCTTACCTAGCCTAGTTTTAGGACCATCCATACCCTTATTCTTGAAGCATAGTAAAGCATGACTTAAAATGAACTCCTTTTTTATCAATGTATTGCAAAAAGCAAGTGTGGGGGAAGTGATTCTTGTGTGTGTGTGTGTGCCAAAGTCCTTAATAAGGCACGGGTAGAAAAAAAAAGTATGAAAAAGAGCTCTAAAGTGTTGTTTGTTAATTGTGAACTAGTAAGTGGTGACTGTGATTAAGTATGTGCTCAAGTGTAAAGATGACCAAAATTTGTGGGAATGATGATTTTTAACATGTCGTGTTTCATTGAAAATCCCTGAGGCAAATGTTGGAAGGTCTAGGTTGTGTTTTTGTTTATTTTCGTGTGTTTTTATGTTAGTTACTGACCTTGTTTGTTTTCTTGTTTTAGATACTAGTTTATGACTCGGAGTTCTCATCCGATTTGTGAGCATATCTTGGACTTTGAAGATGATTTTGAGAGGACTTTGAGAAGGAATAGGAATCAGCAAGATCGTAACCCACCTATTCCTAAACCTGAGTTTGAAGAACATCCACTTGAAGAAAAAGAGGAATATCCCAACATGGCAGCGGACATCGAACAATCAATGAGCTTTCCGCTTCGGGATTGGACAATGCCGCTCCCCTATGCATCCAATACCCCCTGGCTGCCTTAGGGAAGACGGATGAGTTCGAATTGAAATCAAGTTTGTTGCATCACATTCCTAAGTTCCACGGGATGTCCATGGAAGATCCTAATAAACACTTGAAGGAGTTCGAGGTTGTTTGTTCGAGCATGACCCCTGTGAATGTTGATGGGAGCATTCTGAAAATGAAGGCTTTTCCCTTTTCTTTCTTAGAAAAGGCTAAATATTGGTTGTATGAGCTAGCCCCCGGAACTGTCACATCATGGGAGAGTATGAAACGGGCATTTTTAAAGAAGTTTTTCCCAACTTCTCGAGTCATTCTACTACGCAAAGGGATTAGTGGCATTCAACAAAACCAAGGTGAATCATTTCCCACTTACTATGAGCGTTTTAAAACCCTTGTTGCTTCATGTCCACAGCACCAGATGAAATAGGAGCTTCTTCTTCAATATTTCTACGAAGGGCTTCTACCAATTGAACGACAAATGCTAGATGCCTCAGCAGGAAGAGCTTTGGTGGACAAAACACCCATGGCTGCCAAGACCTTAATTGCTAACCGAGCATTGAATGCTCAACAATATAAAGGCGTTGGTCAAAGGGACACCCCACGACAGCAAGTGAATGAGGTAAGTTCCACATCCGACATTCAATCGTAGTTAGCTAATCTTACTTCCATTGTGTCTCAGATGGCTGAAGGAATGAGGATGAAAAAACCAAATGTATGTGGTGTGTGTTATATCCAAAGACATGCCACTGAAAAGTGCCCTCAATTGATTGAAAATGGTGGATGAGAAGGCGCCAATGCAATTGAATTTCAAGGCCACAACCAGCCAAGGAACGATCCATATTCTAATACGTATAATCCAGGTTGGAAAAACCATCCAAATTTCAAGTGGAGGGAGCCCCAACAACCCCAAGAACAAGGAAGCTTTAGGTAACAACCTTTGGGCTTCTATACCAAGCAATACGCACCAACACAAGCCCCATAACAACCTGCCCAAAACACCTCAGGTACATCTTTAGATAATGACACACTTCTTAAGTTACTCACCAATTTGTCTCAGGGGCAAGAAAATCAAGCCAAAGCAATGCAAAACCAAGACAAAAGGGTGGACCAAATGGAGAAGCAAATTGGGCAGATTGCAGAGTTTGTAGGACAATTCAGAGAGCAAGGTAAGTTGCCTAGTTCAACCGTTGTCAACCCGAAGGGAGGATTCGAATCTGCAAAAGCCATAAGTTTGCGAAATGGAAAACAAGTTGGATCTGATCCCCAACCGTCCAATTCACGTTCCAACGAGGTTGAAGAGTTGATAATTGAAGAGGAGGGGCAAAGCACCCCCACGGCAAGGGTGGAAACATCTTTGCCGCAGGCCCCAAAAGCTCCTAAGCCATCCAATTCGGCCAACAAAGGTAAGGAAGTTCCAATTTTGATTAATTCTAACGTTGTTCCTCCAAATGTACCATTTCCTCGTAGGTTTATGCAATCAAAGAAGGAGGACGCGGAAAAGGATATTTTGGAAACGTTTAGAAAAGTTCAAGTCAATATATCACTTTTGGATACAATTAAGCAAGTTCCAAGGTATGCCAAGTTTTTGAAAGAACTTTGCACAACTAGGAAGAGAATTTCGAGCAAGGAGGTTGTCAAGGTAAGTGAAAATGTCTCTGCTGTTTTACAGCGTAAACTGCCCACTAAATGCAAGGATCCGGGTAGTTTTACCATTCCTTGTGTAATTGGGAATATTCATTTTGAATCTGCCATGTTAGACTTAGGTGCATCTATAAATGTCATGCCTTATTCAATCTATGCATCTATGCACTTAGGCGAATTGAAAAAGGATGGTGTGATTATACAATTGGCCGATAGATCTAATGCCTATCCAAAGGGAGTTTTGGAAGATGTTTTAGTCCAGGTCAATCACTTAATCTTTCCAGTGGATTTCTACGTGCTTGAAATGGACGAGTCGGACCACTACCCTACATTACCCATCCTCCTTGGATGGCCATTCATGAAAACTGCCGTACTAAGATTGATGTGTTTAATGGAACTTTGACGATGGAATTTGATGGGGAAGTTATCAATTTCAATCTTTCTGATTCTATCAAGTATCCTAGTGAGGATCACCCATGTTTTTCTATTGATGTATTTGCTTCTTTGGCGCAGGACCATTTTGAACAATTGAATGACGATACATTTGAATTGGTCATTGTACGAGGAATGGACATTCAAAATAATGAAGCAGTAACCATGCATCCCCACGGCATGAATGATTTTTCCCTTACCGTGCCCCCTAATGAAGACGTGATTGGGATGGTGACTGCCCTCGAATCATTGCCACTACAATTTGGTAAGTTTTTGGACCCAATTTCCATTTCAGTTTCGGCTAATAAGTTATTTCCCTTAGTTATGCAGCCACCTACACTTGAACTTAAGCCATTGCCAAGCTATTTAAAGTACATTTTCTTGGGCGATGATGAGACATTGCCCGTCATCATCTCAAGCACACTCACGGCACAAGAGGAGGACAAGTTGGTAAGGGTGCTAAGGGAATACAAAACAGCAATTGGGTGGACATTGGCCGACATAAAAGGAATCAGTCCCACCACTTGCATGCATCACATACTTTTGGAAGAGGGGTCTAAAACATCTCGAGAGGCTCAACGCCAACTCAACCCTCCAATGATGGAAGTTGTGAAGAAGGAAATAATCAAGCTTTTAGATTATGGAGTGATCTATCCTATTTTTGATAGTCATTGGGTTTCGCCCGTTCAATGTGCTCCAAAGAAATCCGGAGTAACTGTGGTGACAAATGCTGAAAATGAGCTTGTGCCTACTCGAATCCAAACAAGTTGGAGGGTGTGTATCGATTATAGGAAGCTCAACGCCACCACTAGGAAGGACCACTTCCCTTTGCCATTCATTGATCAAATGCTTGAGAGGTTAGCGGGTTATGCTTTCTATTGTTTTCTTGATGGTTATTCTGGTTATAATCAAATTCTCATAACACCGGAGGACCAAGAAAAAACCACTTTCACATGCCCCTTTGGTACATTTGCTTATCGCCGTATGCCATTTGGTTTATGTAATGCACCTGCCACATTTCAAAAATGCATGATGAGCATATTTTCTGATTATGTTGAGAAGATTATTGAAGTTTTTATGGATGATTTCAGCGTTTTTGGTGATTCATTTGATGGTTGTTTGCATAATCTCATTTTGATCTTAAAACGATGTGTCGAAACTAACCTTGTTCTCAATTGGGAAAAATGTCATTTCATGGTTAAACAAGGCATAGTTTTAGGACATATCATCTCTGAAAAATGAATGGAGGTTGATAAATCAAAGATCGATCTTGTACGTCACTTACCCTCTCCTACTTCGGTTAGAGAGGTTCGTTCTTTTCTTGGACATGCAAGTTTCTATCGAAGATTTATGAAAGATTTCTCAATGGTTTCCCAACCTCTTTGCTGTCTCCTTAAAAAAGATGTGGTGTTTGACTTTAATAAGGAGTGCACGGCATCCTTCAAACAACTCAAGGAGTTGCTGACCACGGCTCCCATTGTTGTTCCATCGAATTGGAGCCTTCCTTTTGAGCTCATGTGTGACGCATCCGATTATGCTTTAGGGGCTGTTTTAGGACAAAGGAAGGATAAGAGGCCGAATGTCATCTACTATGTGTCACGGACGTTGAATGATGCCCAATTAAACTATTCCACAATAGAAAAAGAACTTCTTGCTGTTGTCTTTGCTTTAGACAAATTTTGATCATATTTAATTGGTACTAAAGTAATTGTTTTCACTGATCATGCAGCTCTAAAGTACTTGCTCTCCAAGAAGGAAGCCAAGCCAAGGCTAATTCAATGGATATTACTTCTTCAAGAGTTCGATATTGAGATTCGAGACAAAAAAGGAAGTGAAAACGTGGTGGCTGACCACCTAAGCCGTATGATGCATAAGGAGGAGTCCCTACCCATTGCTGAAACGTTTCCTGATGAACAATTGATGTCCATTAAGGTAAGTGAACCTTGGTATGCTGATTTGGTAAACTTAACAAATTCCAAGCACTCTCACTAGACACCAACGTGATAAGCTTAGAAATGATGCATGGTTTTATGTGTGGGATGATCCATATTTGTGGAAATATTGCCCGGATCAGAATATTTGTCGATGTGTGCATGATTCTAAGTTTCATTCCATTTTAAACTTTTTTCATACATATGCATGTGGTGGTCACTTTGGCACATAAAGAACAGCACTTAAGGTGTTACAATGTGGGTTCTATTGGCCTAGTATCTTTAAGGATGCTAGATTTTTTTGCTTAACATGTGATAAATGCCAAAGAACAGGAAATATAAGTGCAAGGGATCAAATGCCGCACGTTTCCATCCTCAATGTTGAAATTTTTTACTTTTGGGGTATTGATTTTATGGGTCATTTCCCTTCCTCACATGGCTTCCTTTATATCTTACTTGCTATGGATTATGTGTCGAAATGGGTGGAAGCAAAAGCCATCCGAACTAATGATTCTCGAGTAGTTGCATATTTCATTAAAACTAACCTATTTGCAAGGTTTGGAATGCCAAAAGTAATCATAAGTGATGGAGGTTCTTACTTTTGCAATCGAACCATTGAGGCGCTATTGAGGAAGTATAATGTCAAACATAAGGTTTCAACACCTTATCATCCTCAAACCAATGGGCAAGCCGAGGTGTCTAATAAGGAGATCAAGCAGATTCTAGAGAAGACCATTGGGCCAACAAGGAAGGATTGGAGCTTGCATTTGGAGGACACGTTGTGGGCATGTTGTACGGCATATAAAACACCCCTTAGCATGTCCCCATTTTGGCTCATCTATGGCAAACCATGCCATCTTCCCGTAGAATTGGAGCACAAGGCGCATTAGGCCGTCAAAACATTCAACATAGACCTTGATGCCGCTGGAATTCATAGAAAGCTCAAATTAAATGAACTTGAAGAGATTAGGCATGAGGCTTATGAAAACGCTCGAATTTACAAGGAGAAGACGAAGGCTTTCCATGACAAGATGATTCGAGGCAAATCATTCTTCATTGGGTAGAAAGTGTTACTCTTTAATTCCCGCCTTCGCTTGTTTCCTAGTAAGTTGTGTTCCAAAGGGATTGGTCCTTTTGTGGTTACTAATGTTTTTCCTCATGGTGCAGTCCAAATACAAAGTTTAAAGACGCAACAAGAATTCAAGGTAAATGGGCATCGTTTGAAGCCTATTATGAGGCCTTTGAGGAGCATGTCGTGGAGAATGTACCCCTCCATGCCGTGGGCCCTGTTCAAGCTTAAATGGAGGTATCGTCCGGCTGGAAGACGTTAAAGCAAGCGCTTCTTGGGAGGCAACCCATGTATTCAAATAAGGAAGATTTCTGAATCGCTCCACAATTAGTTTTGTGTTTCTAAAAACCTTCCATTTTCTACATTTTTATTTTGCCATGATTGTCATTTTTTTTATTTATTTGTTGCTCATTTAATTATTTTTGGGTATGGGTTTATTTTTGAGACATTGACAAATATGCAATGTATTTTCACATTAAAATTCGTGGAAAATAAACAGGAGATAGAAAAATACAAGAGGGAGCGTTCACAAAGGTTGTTTGGGAGAGGTCTCAGTAGTCGGCGGAGCTACATAAGGAGGAGGTATCAGAGGTTGATCATTTGGAACTTCACTACGCAGTACAGCCCCAGAAGACTAAAGCAAATGTTGTTGGAACAAACCCACAAACCTCTGATGATCAAGTAAAATCTGACCATCAGATTCTTGCATCTGGTCAATCTTCCTCTTCATGTTTGTAGCATAGTTATGTGCGAGCCTGTGCAACTGTTTATTCTCATGCTTAAGCCCTCTAATCTCCTGCTTGAGACTCATCACTTCAGCCGCCAATGATTCAACTTGACGGGTTCGAGCAAATAGGCGTTGGGCCATATTAGACACAGAACCCGCACACTACACACTGAGAGCCAAAGAATCCTTAACAACCAACTCATCAGACCGTTTGGAAAAGAGTATGTTATCTTTGGGAGTGACAAGGTTCCGGGCCACCACCGCAGTGGTCATATCATTCTTCATCACCGAATCCCCAACGGTAAGAGAACCAGTAGGGGATATGAAGGATGGGCGCCATATGTTGTCTGGAGAAGGCATGGCTGCCTCTTCACCAAGGTTCAAATCAAAATGACGGTCAGAGGGGCCAGACATTTTCAAGGGTGTTGAAGAAAGAAGAGGTCGGACAAGTCAAGATCGTAGAATTGCAAGAAGGGAGTTTCTACAGGCAGAAATTCAAATGTGCTTTGAAACGTAATGCGTGCCTCTATAAAAATTAGCACTCGACGGGATTTCAGAGATCGAAGAGGCGAGCTCAGAAATCGAAGAGGCCAATTCAAAAATCGAAGAGGCGCTAACTTTCTTAAAAGCTGGGCTTGCTCAGAAACCACGGGCCAATCTTATTTTCCAGATTTGTCCGCACTTGTCACATGCAACCTCTGCACTCGACGGAGCCCAGAACTCGAAGAGGCAAGCTCAGAAATCGGAAAGGCATATGTTTTTCCAAACGTGTCAGCATCTGTCACATGCACACTCAGCTTTGTGAAAATCACGAGGAGTTTGTCGAAACGCCAATTCCAGATATCGAAGAGGCACTTGCTTTTCCAGACATGTCAGGACCTGTCACATGCACACTCAGCCTTGCGGAAATTATGGGCAATCTGTCGAAGATCTCTTGTGAAGTAGAAAGCACGTGAAGTTTACTGTTAAATCATCCAACGGTTGCCGACAAGAGTGAAAGAATAGTACCGGTTATTAATTCCTATAAATGTCAACCTTCACCCTCCATTGCAAGGCAGACATACATAACCTTTCTTCATCTCCGAGAATGCCTTCCCAACGAAGCCTCTCGAGTCACTCAGTGTTACCTCTGCAAACAACTCATCCAAAGCAAAAGTATTTCATATCATGAAGGTTGAAAGCAAGAGTATCTCATATCATGCTTTCTCCCTGTCTTTCTCCTTGTCGTTGTTTTCATCTGCGGGACAAGGAGAAAGAGAGCAACCAGCCATCATTTGGTATCAATCTTCCGATCTGGAACCGACTGCCTGGAACCCCTTCCTGATCGCTTACCTAGCCTTGCTCTCGAGTACTCATCTTCAACATCTTATGCTTCCTCTTCGTCTACCACATCTGCCTGGGGAACAGATAAGGGAAGTGAAAATGATATCTCGAAGCATGTGGAGACAATGTGCTAATTGAAGGATTATTTTGTGAAAACATGTTCATTTAAGCAACATCAATAAGCATGCAATTAACAATTAAAGGCGGAATCATGCTTGCATGCACTTAAAAACAAAACATTAACCATGAAATTCAAAGCCTAGTAGATTGGTGAACCAAAACTCAACTCAAAACAAAGTGAGTTGAAATTTATACCTTTGTAGATTCCTCTTTGCATAAGCAAAGGCTAATCACCCAAAGAGAGGGCCTTCATTCCTTGCATCTAAAATCTATGGATTTGGATGGATGAATAGGTTTCTCCAAGTTCCCAAAATTGAGAACCTCTAAGTCTCTTCACCAAGGAGAGATTGGAGAAGAAATGAGTGACCTTGGAGTAGTGGGATTGCAAGATGCACCCCCCAAGGTGGCCGGCCTCTTTAGAGAGAAATGGAGAGACAAGTTCTCACCAATTTTCTCCAAAACAAACCCTAATGAATTTTAGGCTATAAAGTCATATTTATACCTTTATTCATTTGAGTGGCAAACTTGTAAATAAGTCCAAGTTCACTACCCTTAGCATCATGGCCGGCCCTAGGGTATTTTTGGGCTAATTAGGCCTTTGTGAATCATTATTCATTAAGTTGTCATACAACTTAAGTCAATGGGCTTGACGTTCAAAGCCCATTGGGCCTTAATGTCCAAACTATCCCGAGGTCTTTAACGAACTTATTTGTTTGATTAATTAACATATTAATTAATCCTTGCCATAAATAAATGATTAAACCATTTAGGCCCTGTTTGGCAGATCGGATAGAGGATCGGATAGGACTAATTATACGGACGCGGGTGTTTGGCGTTCACTCGTACTAAATAAGCGCCGGATTAAATTAACCGGTGTGTTTATTTAGTACGGTATACACCGGACTAATAAAACCAACCAAAAGGCCGGGATTATTAGTCGGCCCTCTCTCTCTCTCTATAGGCGTCGTCGTCCTCCCCCCCCCCGGTCACCTTCTCTCACCATCGGCGTCCTCCCCGTCGCCGTCTTCGTCCTCCCCGTCGACGTCGTCGTCCATCGGCGTCCTCCCCGTCGCCGTCGTCGTCCTCCCCTGCAACTGGGTCTTGCGAAGAAGCATGCACTCTTGATTTGGGTTGATGTGGATCTGATGACTCATGGTTGCTCACCAGATGTGCAGGCAGGCGGGGAAGAAGAAGGGAGTGAGAGGGAGGACGTTTGAGGGGTGCGGCGGAGAGAACGGGGAAGAAGAAGGGATGGTTTCAGATTTTTTTTTTTTATTTTTATAAGTTTAATTTAATTTTAAGTTTGATTTAGCCTATCCGGTATAAAACCAAACACAGTATAAATAATACGGTCATTAGTCCGATACTGCACCAAACGCCCGACTAATTTAGTCAGTACTATCCGATGGCTATTTATCCTATCCGACAGAAATAGTCAGTACAGTCCGAGCTGCCAAACGAGGCCTTAATCATTCTTACTCATCTCCATTATTTCTTCAATCTCCACCTTACACGGTGTGCGATCCATTAGGTTCCTTTTAGCGAGGCAGTGGGCGATTAAAACCATTTTATATCGATTGTGAATTGAAACTTACTTTCAATTCTCCCTTTAGTGATTACACACGTTTAGGGCTTCCACAAACCATGAGTGACACCTTGCAGCATATCATGGTTACCCAAGCTAATCAGAAGAGGTAGAGAAAACCTATTCAGTTTGGGATTACAAATGCAATACGGTCTTTCTCTAATCTAATACTCTTGACCACATTGTTTGGTATGATAGTTTATTTGTTCATGTCTACTATCCAATGTGAGTCGTGTGCTTATATGATTACCTTGAATGTGATTCGGAACGCATTCCCAAATCTCATTCATACTCTGGCCAAAGATTCAAAATCATATCATAGAGTATTCTCCC